TCTTTCCCTTCAGGTAATGATTGTCCTTGAGCTGGGGGAATAACGTGTCTTCATAAAGACAGAGAGGTGTTTCTCATGGCATCCAGTCCCTCTCCCTCTTCTCCGGTCCCCAGTAATGTGGTTAAGTATGGAATGTATATGTCCCGCTTTAACAAAAGGTATCAGTGAATGCAGTACACACCTCCTTTGACCTTTATCATCCCTCCCCCTCCCTCCTTACCCTTCTCCTCTCCACCTCTCAGCAGGTCGATACCTATTTGTATTTGCAATGCATTAGACCGATACCCTCTTTTTAGATTGAAAAAGCTGGCTTTTCTCAGTTTGGCACCTTGGTGGCAAATCAAACCATCAAGACAGAAGCTTTATTTTTCACCCTTTCCTTCTTAAGGCATATTAAAATCAGTGTAATCACATTCATCTATCTGGCTAGCCTCTTAAAAAAACAGAAGTTAAGTCTTATTCTAATGCTCAATTAATGATAGTGGATCAAGCTAAGATTTGAAAAGAGATTTCCCAGTCCCAGCTGCCATAAATGGTGTACATGTTAATGTTGAACCACAGAAACAGCCCTGTTACATGGGCTTATGGCCAATGGTTTCCAACCTGGGGGTCTGGATACCCCAAAGGCTTGCAAGAAAAAGATGAGAAAAATGAAGAGAAGCATTTCTATTCTAGAAATGACACTGAAAATTCACTCTTGATTTACACATCCATGAGACACAGAGCAGCATTAGTAATCATTTGCATTTGTAATGTAATGGAATGAATCCGTATTCATTCTCTTTTAGCTCTGTTTTTGTTCTCTACCACTCTTGAGGGAACTATTTAGCTGTTAAATGCTCCTCCAGGTTCACCTCCATATCGCTTATTCCTGAATAGGGTCATGGGGGGTTGAAGCCTATCCCAGCTGACACTGGGCGAGAGGCGGGACACCCTGGACAGGTCGCCAGTCTATCACAGGGCTGACATGTAGACAAACAACCACTCACACTCCTACAGGCAACCAATCAACCTAAGCGGCATGTTTTTGGACTGTGGGAGGAAGCCGGAATACCCGGAGAGAACCCACACAGGCACAGGGAGAACATGCAAACTCCGCACAGAAGGGCTCAAACCTGGAACCTTCTTACTGTGAGGCAACAGCGCTAACCACCCTTCCAGTGTGCGACCCCACTATGTTAACCTGTTAATGGCTAACTTTGTCTCTGTGCAGTTTGGTGCAGAGCAGATAATGTACAGTGGGATTTTTGAACATTATCTTTAAACACAGCTGTTTTAACATTGAAACAGAAAGCTGAAAGATGCTACAAAGCTCCTGCAGCAGAGGGGAACTGCAGAGTCAGATGATCTGTGGTGTGTATGAACAGCGCCTTTCCCATGCAAGTAGTCATTTGATCCATTCATAATACAAAAACATTGATTAACTGCCTAAATTAAAATCTACAGTTCCTTTTTACTCTTTTATATTTATCTTTCTTCCCCTCCTTTTATTTTTCTTTTTTCCTCTTTCCTATCAATTTACTTTTCTTTAATATATACTGAATACCAGACTGCATGCTGTACAGGATGCAGCCTCCTGAGACAGCAAAGGATCAGAAGCCAGTGAAGTGAGTTATGATGCAAGGGACAAACCTTATACAGGTATTGTATTAATTCACATAATTAACATTTCTAATTCTTAAATAAGAATAATTCCAGTGTTTCAGATTTTAAAAAATCTTCTGGCCTTACTTTGGTTTTATCGACAATCCTTCATCTTTTGGGTTCAGTGCATGTGATGTTAATGTTTTTCCTGCCCTTGTGTTTTATCTGTAGATAAGAAAGCCTTAGTTCACCCTTATATCTTGTTGGTTTAAGCCAGAATTTATTTATGATTAATTTGTTTTCTTTTAATTGTCTATATTTCAGCTCCTTCACATCAAAGCTCAAACCATATGCATCAAAAGTAAAGAATATAATACACAAAAATATAAAGAAGTATAAATCAAATAAGTCAAATTGATGGATAAATTAAGAACTGTGGAATGCATATTAAATAATAAATACATATTATTAAGCATTTTCCTGCTTATACCAAACTTCTGTCTTCTTGTCAAAACACCTGGAAATACCATTTCC